TTGACTAACAGGTCCAACAACATATGTTCTTAAACCCTGCTGACTGCCATTGGCGATTGCCAAATAAACGGATCACCGATGTAATAAATGGATCTTCACTATGAATTTAATATTAAACAGAAAACAATAAACTTGCGGAAAAGATGATTTACCGCAAACAAAAGGTGCAAAGGTTTTTGTACACCATATCCGTATTTCGACAATTAATGTTTCTTCAGTGACGTTAGGAATCGAAACGGTATTTGGAAAGCCTTACAATTTACCTCAATTTAGGATAGACTCTTGATTTTTGAGGAGTCAAAATAGGATGACCGGATCATATAAACCCGAAGGCAAAAATAATACAAGCCCAAACGGAAAAATATAAACAAGTCTAAATTGAAAACAACGTTCAAACCTATGATTGCGTTGGATAAAAACCGCAATTTTTATACGTTTGCATGCAAAACAAATTTCTTGTTAAAGGGGTTTAAATACAGCACAAAAAACATTTTCCAAATGACCAAGAAAGTGAAACAGTATATTTTAACAAAACGCATTTGACTAACAGGTCGAACAACAAATGTTCTTAAACCCTATTGACTGCCATTGGCGATTGCCAAATAAACGGATCACCGATGTAATAAATGGATCTTAATTATAAATTAAATACTAAATAGAAAACAATAAACTTGCGGAAAAGATGATATACCGCAAACAAAAGGTGCAAAGGTTATTGTACACCATATCCGGATTTCGACAATTAATGTCTCTTCAGTGATGTTAGGAATCGAAACGGTATTTGGAAAGACTTACAATTTACCTCAATTTAGAATAGACTCTTGAATTTTGAGGAGTCAAAATAGGATGACCGGATCATATAAACCCGAAGGCAAATATAATACAAGCCCAAACGAAAAAATATAAACAAATCTAAATTGAAAACAACGTTCAAACCTATGATTGCGTTGGATAAAAACCGCAATTTTTATACGTGTGCATGCAAAACAAATTTCTTGTAAGAGGGGTCTAAATACAGCACAAACAACATTTTCCAAAAGACCAACAAAGTGAAAAAGTATATTTAAACAAAACGCATTTGACTAACTGGCCGAACAACAAATGTTCTTAAACCCTGCTGACTGCCATTGGTGATTGCCAAATAAACGGATCACCAATGTAATAAATAGATCTTAATTATCAATTTAATACTAAACAGAAAACAATAAACTTGCGGAAAAGATGATATACCGCAAACAAAAGGTGCAAAGGTTTTTGTACACCATATCCGGATTTCGACAATTAATGTTTCTTCAGTGACGTTAGGAATCGAAACGGTATTTCGAAAGCCCTAGAATTTACCTCAATTTAGGATAGACTCTTGAATTTTGAGGAGTCAAAATAGGATGACCGGATCATATAAACCTGAAGGCAAATATAATACAAGCCCAAACGAAAAAATATAAACAAGTCTTAATTGAAAACAACGTTCAAACCTATGATTGCGTTGGATAAAAACCGCAATTTTTATACGTGTGCATGCAAAACAAATTTCTTGTTTAAGGGGTCTAAATACAGCACAAATAACATTTTCCAAAAGACCAAGAAAGTGAAACAGTATATTTTAACAAAACGCATTTGACTAACAGGTCGAACAACACATGTTATTTAACCCTGCTGACTGCCATTGGCGATTGCCAAATAAACGGATCACAGATGTAATAAATGGATTTTAATCATCAATTTAATACTAAACAGAAAACAATAAACTTGCGGAAAAGATGATATACCGAAAACAAAAGGTGCAAAGGTCTTTGTACACACTACCCGGATTTCGACAATTAATGTCTCTTCAGTGATGTTAGGAATCGAAATGGTATTTGAAGAGCCTTACAGTTTACCTCAATTTAGGATAGACTCCTGAATTTTGAGGAGTCAAAATAGGATGACCGGATCATATAAACCCGAAGGCAAATATAATACAAGCCCAAACGAAAAAATATAAACAAGTCTAAATTGAAAACAACGTTCAAACCTATGATTGCGTTGGATAAAAACCGCAATTTTTATGCGTGTGCATGCAAAACAAATGTCTTGTTAAAGGGGTCTAAATACAGCACAAACAACATTTTCCAAAAGACCAAGAAAGTGAAACAGTATATTTTAACAAAACGCATTTGACTAACAGGTCGAACAACACATGTTATTAAACCCTGCTGACTGCCATTGGCGATTGCCAAATAAACGGATCACAGATGTAATAAATGGATTTTGATTATCAATTTAATACTAAACAGAAAACAATAAACTTGCGGATATGATGATATACCGCAAACAAAAGGTGCAAAGGTTTTTGTACACCATATCCGGATTTCGATAATTAATGTCTCTTCAGTGATGTTAGGAATGGAAATGGTATTTGGAAAGCCTTACAGTTTACCTCAATTTAGGATAGACTCCTGAATTTTGAGGAGTCAAAATAGGATGACCGGATCATATAAACCCGAAGGCAAATATAATACAAGCCCAAACGAAAAAAAATAAACAAGTCTAAATTGAAAACAACGTTCAAACCTATGATTGCGTTGGATAAAAACCGCAATTTTTATACGTGTGCATGCAAAACAAATTTCTTGTTAGAAGGGTCTAAATACAGCACAAACAACATTTTCCAAAAGACCAAAAAAGTGAAAAAGTATATTTTAACAAAACGCATTTGACTAACAGGTCAAACAACAAATGTTCTTAAACCCTGCTGTCTGCCGAAATGTGTTTATCCCCCAAAACGTGAGCAAATGACGCCGCGGAACTGCAAAATATGTCTAGTTTTTAGAGGGCGACAAAAAAGTATGTCCTTTTTATATATGCACGCCCAATCGTGTCCATTTAAAAAAAAATCATGCTCAAACATGTTCAGTCTCCCAAACTTGTCCATATGAAAGCAGAACATCTCTCTTTTTGGAACGCTCGATCGTGTCCATATTTATAAATACAGCCAAAACGTGTCAACCGTTATCACGTCGTGATTGGTAATTACATATGTTTTAAAATACAAACCCAGTCGATATTATTACACGAACCTTAGATTAGTTTTGTTTTAAAAATGAAACAGTAAGTCTTTAAAAGCATAGACACCATTCTTGTAGGAAGCAGGCCATGCGATACCCTCATGTATTATTAAGACTAGAACACACTCGCGGGTCCGTGACTAAATTGAAGTACCTACACCTTATTTTTAGCTTGGACTTTTAGTATTTGTATTGTCATCTGATAAAGTCATGCTGATTATAAGGTGCACAGTTTTCTCTGCTTTCAAAATTTTCAACTCGATTCCTAAACGAATTTTTCTGTTTGAACCCGTCCTTGTTTTCTTACTACAACCGGAAACTACTTGTGAAATATAATGTTTTGGGGGGTCAATGATTGAATTAGTAGTGTCAAGCTCTGATGAAGTTCAGGGGTGATTATGACCCATGTATACAGCAAATCCAAAATACACCGTTTGTTGGTGCACCTGACAGAGGCGGAACGTACAGATTATGTAACAAGTAACAGGTAACTATTAGTATCGGTATCGGATTCGACACGGAACTTGTTGATAATTGGTAATAATAATTGTGTGGAAATCAAAAGGGTCTGTATTGGTGTAATTTTTAATCAGCACTATTGTCCTATATTAGTTATATATAAAGGTAAATTCTTTGATTCGTCGATTTAACGTCATGCCGGATAACGAATTGGATCTCGTTATTTTAGTAGCATAGACAGTTAAGAATGATCGGAGTATATTACTACAAAAGAATTCACCTAGTACGCGTTTAATTTAACTTTACAAAACTAATAAATTGCAATTGTTCATGTTGTTATGTCCGCTCTAAATATGCATGACAGTTTAAAGAGACTTTTTTGTGATATAAAAATTTTCAAGGCACTGATATGTATTCAGCACTTCACCAGATATAGGTCGTAACGCATTCCATTTGAAACAATTTTTATAACATTACATTAAGACCTGTTTTATAATAGTCCACCTCAAGGCGCACTTCAGGTTCGGGTGAACTAGTGTAATGGTACAAAAATATTCCTAGTGTACCTAATATTTGACAACAAAATATAATATGTTGAACAAACGTAGTCGTAATCGTAATAACACGCAAAGGAAGAGCTAAATCTCCCTCAAACAAGTCTGGACGAAATGTTATGTTCTATTTTTATCAAGCCTTTCATAGAGATTACCTATTACTGTATAACACAAACTATGTTGTTCCTGTAGATACAATAGACCGTATTGTTTACTTCTTATCAGATAAGTGTTATAGACTTCGAGAAATACAAGTATTAATAGTAAATACTTACAATTAGACATAATCGATGGCATTTAACAGATTTATAGCAATTATTCATGACATGACACTGTTCATATACCACAATACTTCAAAACTAAATTCGTACGGTTTTTGAACGAATCATTGCAGTATTTTTGGTGAAGTTACTCTTTGGTTCATAATCGTTTTTCGTCTTTATTCTTGGTTTACTGTGAATTTCGTTTAAGTAAACGGCGTTGTAATTTTTGGTGACATATATGTTTGTTTTTCCTGTGCATGTAGTATTCAATTGACCAATTTTTTTCTGTTCAGTAGCAGCTATGTACCTGTCCAAAACAACATCATACTGAAAAGGTACTGCACAGTAAAGGACTGATTGCACGCAAACATATTGAACAGAACTGAATGTATTACAAAACAATATCTAAAAAATAACTTAAATTATTAACAATACTTATTGTTTTTAGTTTCAGACTTGTTAGTAATGTTAAGATCAAAATTACCCTAAAGACTAACATCGCTAAAGGGCTAAGCAACCTGTTTATTTGATAAATAATTGGTAGTATTTCAAAATCAAATATGTAACCATGAGCGTCAAAAAATATTGTCCTTGTTGTTGCAGTTTGTCAATCTTTCCATCTAGAGTTTTCCTTAACTGTAATATTGACACTTTATTTTTTCAAATGATTGTTTCAGATAAACCTTTTCTTGACCATACAAGACCCTTTTCTCCAGAATTTATAAGTGCCACAGAAAACAACACTCTACACATTACAGTAACAATAAATGCTAATCCGACCCCAACTATAGAATGGACTTTCAAGGCGGAAACGGACATGATACCATGCAATTTTAGTACAATATTATCTAACACTAGTACAAATGGATTCAGTTCTTTGTCATTCATATTGATCGATAATGTACAATACAGTAACTTTGGAGAGTATATTATCTCAGCTAGAAACACAATTGGAGTCTTCTACCGCAGATTTATTGTTATGAAAGAAGGTGAGTTGGAGTTCTTTTCAGTCTAAAGACATCAATTATGTCATATAAAATTAAAGGTACACATTGTACTCCACCAGATGCACATTGTGAGACATGAAATCTCTTCAGTGATGTTCGTTGCATACATATTGTAAATAAAACATTTAATACACATGGGATGAGGTTATGTAAACCAAAAATGAATTAAACGTATAATAAAACCAGGAAAAGGTACCAGAGTTATGCATGAGGAATAAATTCCGTAAATTCAACTGATTTCTTAGATTATGATAGCAAATATCAAATAAACAATATCGGTCTTTCAAGCCAGTAGAGAAGTTCTGGGGGAGTAACAGTCCATGAGCAGATGCATTGCCCGCGTGGTAGAATTATTATTAACTGGTATCAATTTTATTGCATTACATGCGCATTTCGACAATAGTATGATAAAATAGTTTTACAATAAGAATTGACCTCGATGATGTTTCGTCAATGAGTAATGTGTTTACTCAGTCAGAGTTTTCAATTCATATTGACTTAGAGCATGTATTCAAAATACATAAATTTATTAGATATCTAAATACAAAGAGCTTGAAACAGTAGTTATATTGTCAACAATGAATAGTGTACTTGTTATAAATAAAAGGTAGCATTACGCAAGCACTGGCTACGAATAGCTTATTTACAATATCTGGTTGTGGTAAGCATACTAAAATCAACAAAGATACCCGCCCTTAAAATGTGTACGCTTCGTCTACAAAAGACTCATCAGTCGCGCTCAACATTATTTGATTAATCTGAAACTTGATTAGAACATAGCAGTGTAGACGTATATATGTACATTTTGTAACCTTTTATAAAACTGAATTTAAAAAAAAAAACAGTCATCATATTAACTAAAAAACGCTGTAAAACAAAAGCGAAAGATACCAGCCGAAAACAAACTAAAGAGGGCATGGAAAAAACGAAAAATGATCCAAAGACAAGTAACAGTATACAAAACACAACATAGATAACTAAAGACTAAGCAACACGAACCCCAACAAGAAATAAAGGCAACAGTAGTATACCGCTATTTGAAACTCATAAATCGATAGAGATAAAAACAATACCGGGTTACAAACTAAAACTGAGGGAAACGCATCAAATATAAGAGGAGAACAACGACACAACAAAAACACAACATTAAAATGTAACACACACAGAAACGAACCATAATATAACAATGGCCATTTTCCTGACTTGATACATGACATTTTAAGAAAACAATGGTGGGTTGAACCTGGTTTTGTGGCATGCCAAACCTCCCGCTTTTATGGCAATGTTAAATATAACATTAAAATGACAACATTACATGACAGGATTACAATACAAATAAATGGGAGAACATATAGGACAAAGAAACACACGAATAATAGCTAATAAAAGGCACCAGGTTTAAAATCCAATACGCCAGACGTGCGTCTCGTCCACACAAGACCAACCAGTGACGCTCAGATGAAAAAAGTTTGAAAGCCAAAACAAGTACAAAGCTAAAGAGTACCGAGGACCAAAACTTCCAAAAAGTTGCGCCCAACACGGCCAGGGTTTTCTGCCTGGGACAAGAACATCCTTATTATTTAGAATAATTTATAATTTTGCAAACAGTAAATTTTATAAAATGACTATATGATAGATATACATGATAAAACCGAAGTGGGGACTAACTACAGAATAAAAACGGATACATTACATAAAACAACTTAATCCAACACATAAAAATACACAGCCGAGTTAGCCAAAGCCTCAACGCACAAAGTGACGTCACATTTGAAATTGCATTTGAAGATCTGCGCGCACTAATCTGCGATTTGATAGTATTATCATTATTTTACTGGCTGGCCATGTATTAGTGGAGCTGGTAAACGCTTTCGACCGTCAAAGATTATTGCTTTTGCAATATTTTATAGTTAACGAACATATATTTATAAGGTGAAAATCTAAAGTCATTAACTACCGTGGTATAAGGTTTGTATTCTTTTTAGTTAATTTAAGTACCACTAGGCCGCAATTAATACATTCCACAATATGAATGTCAAAGTGCATGTTAGTGTGTATATACTCTAACTTATCAAGTTTACAATGTTGCTTTTGGTTTGTTGAACATTATAAAATGACTTGTCGATCATTTGCATTGTATATTATTTCAAATTATAATCAAGTTTACAAGAATTATATTCACATTGTTGTGTTTTCGTCGTGTCATGGCTGTACAATTATTGTTTAATGTAACAGTAGACGTCTCCCAAACAATGTCATGCAAACCATATGTACGGTAATGTGTAATCTTTGTAACTGTTACCAAGCCTTTCCATGCACAATCACTGTATTATAAGAAATGAACCTATACATTTTGCGCAAAATAACAGTTTAAATACGTTATTATTTATGCATATGGATTAAACAGCTTATCAAGGAATTTACAAAAAATCATAATACTGTAGATCTGTATAATCAGGATTTCATTGCATGATAATAATTTTAATATTTTCGTAGCAAACTTAAGACAAGAAATCTTTGCACACACAAAAGAAAATACCGGAATATTTGTTGCAGGATTGGTAACATTAGTTGTAGGATTGTTGAGCCTAACGACAGCAATCATTTGTATTGTCCGTCAAAGTAAGTTACATGTTTTTGTCTCATCGACATCGGACATTCAATATGCAGTCTTTATGTCATTTGTTTTGTTATAACTTTTATATGTACAGCTGTTTTCACTTATCGCCTACGTTTTTCTTTCAATCGAAAACTTCATCTAGTTTTTGTCTACATTGAACATGTGAAATTCTTGATAATTATTTTCTTGTAATAAATACCAAATACTTTCAGGGATTTCAACATTATAATTGACATTTTAACACTTGTCTGATTGATCAAGTATGTATGCCTTTTTTAGCTAGCATTAGTCTTTTTGCAATATTACTAGTTTACAGAAGTTGACAAAAATATACATGTATATCAAAATATAAAGGTAAAATTAGATCCGTTGAAATATCTATTTCCTGGAACTGCTTTGAAAAAAAGAAAATACGTTCTATATGTACAATACTTGCAACCGTAGGCGTTACTGTTTAACGGAAATATACTGATTGGTGAATGATCAGTGACGGATGTTCGACTGATCGATGAATGATTCATGATTGATGACCCTTAGAATCCGTCAGATCCGTCAAATAAGCTATGTGAGAGTTACTGTGACAACAGTCAGCGATCGATCAGTCAATTAATTATATGCACGTATCGGATGGATACACAAAAAATTGGAATTATTATGTAAAACAAACTTTTATTTTTCTGCTAGATAAATTACATAGTTGCAGATTAGGGATATGCTCAGAATGTTTTTGTATCACTAAAACGAGATGCAATGTTATCGTTTAAAATAAGTACCCTGTTGACCAATGATTATGCATTTGAATGCCACTACATGAGTTAATTTTCCTAAAAGGTAAATAATATATCAGTAAAGATTCTCAAAGCGTTCTTTTTGTTGATTAAGAGTGCAATTATATCTTTATTTTAAAAGAAATCATGAACCACCAGTGTGTTTTGAAAAGAGTGCAATTATTTCTTTTTTAATGGAAATCATTAACCCTTGTCGGTTTTTAGTACATTTTGTGCATCCGGATGGGTTGTTATTCATAAGATAGGACGAATATCAAAGAGAGAGAAAAGATACTCAAATATTATTTCAAAGTTTAGAAATACCAAATGTTCTTATTTTTATTAAAGCGAAACAATGCACTGTTGTTTGCAATCAGTTATTTTTAATACATTTTGATACGTAAACGTTTATAAAATTTTAATAAAATAAGAATACAAATACTTAAACTTGTCTTTGTTTTGAATAAGAATGCGTTATATATGTCTGAGCTTTTAATTTTTGCAATTTGGTGAATGACTTTTCGTTTTGAATTTTCCTTGGAGTTTGGTATTTTTGCTATTTTAACTTTTATTTCTTTATTTTAACATGTTAAATAGAAAATATGAACCACCATTGGACTATAGTTCTATTTGTACACCAGGGTTGTTTGTTTTTTTTCATAAAATAAGATGCATTTTAGAGAAAAAATACTAATATTTTGCTTCCATTGTTTACAAATACCAATATTTCTTCTTTTTGTCAAAAATAATGCAATATGTTTTTGGAAGTAAGTTATTTCAAATGCCTTTAGATAAGTAATGTTTGATTAAATGTGAATAATATAAGGATGATGATACTTAAACTTTTGTTTGGGTAGAATACGAATGCAATCATTTCTTTATTTGATTGAAATCATGGACCGCCATTGGAATTTAGTACTTGTTTTACATCAGAATGATTGTTTTTCACAATTAATGATAAATATAAGAGAAAAAAGTAATACAGCAAAAATACCGAACTCCAAGAAAAAACACTAAAATTGTGTTTGCATTGTTTAAATATGCCAATATTTCTTCTTTCTATCCAAAACAATGAAATGTTTTCTGAAATCATTGTTTCATATGCGATCTGAATATGCTATGTTTTTTTTTAAATTCTAATAATATACAGATACGATTATTTCCACTTTTGTTTGCGTTGAATCAGAATGCAATTATTTCTTTATTGTTATAGGAATCGGAACCCCCTTTGAGTTTAACTACTTTTTATACATCAGGTTTGGTTGTTCTTCATAATGAAATATGATGAATTACATATAAAAGATACTAAAATTGTGTTCCTAATGTGTTAATATGCAAATATTTCATCTTTTTCTATCATAAATATGGCAACGTTATTTGCAATCAGTCATTTTACATGCCTCTAGATAAGTTATTTTTCATAAAATGTGACAACTATAAGGATAAAGATAAGTTGTGTTTGTATTGAATAAGAATGCAATATTTTTTTTATTTTCATGGAAATTATGAATTGCCATCGGAATTTAGTACTTTTTGTATATCACTGTCATCTGGATGCGTTGTTTTTTCACAAATGATAATACATATCAGGGAAAAAATACTAACATTGTGTTTTCTTTTTTTTTTAATACGCCAGTATTTCTTCTTTTTATCCAAATTAATGCAATGCGTTTTGCCATTTTTCATTTTAAATGCCTTTGAAGATAATAAGATATTTTTTACAAAATGTAAATAATATCAATATAAACTTTTGTTACCTTTTGTTTTAGTTAAATAAGAATGCAGCTATCTCTTTATTTTAATGGAAATCATTAACCGCCATTAGATTTTTGAACTGTTTGTACATCATGATGGGTTGTTTTCACGAGATATGAATACTATAACAGAAAAGATACCAATAATGTGTCAGCATTGTTTAAAAATGCCAAAATTTCTTCTTTTCATTAAAAATAATGCACTGCTGTTTGTCATCAGTTTTTTTTTAAATGCTTAAGGATAAGTAAATTTTTATAAAATTGGAATAGTATATGGTAAAAGATATATAATCTTTTGTTTCTGTTGAAAAAGAAAGTAATTATTTCTTTATTTTGATTGGAGTCGTTAACGGTCAGTGGATTTTAGTTCTTTTAATTCATTATGATGGGGTTTTTTCATGAAATATCATGAATTTCAGAGAAAGGATACTAACATTCTGTTCGTATTGTTTAAAAATGCCAATATTTCTTCTTCTTTTTTTTTACATAATGCACTGTTGTTAGCAACCAGTTATCTTTATTGCCTTTGGATAAGTTACTTTTTATGAGATTTAAATAATATCAGGATAAAAATACATAAACTTTTCTTTGTGTTGAATAAGAGTTATTATTAATTTAAACAATAACCATCATTTGATATGATTATTTTTGTTGGGTTTCCCCCCCCCCCCCCCCCTAAAAATGATGAATTTAAATATAAAGTATACATAATATGATGTTTGTTTTTTTTCAGAGTGTCCCACGTGTATATGTCTGCATTTTGTTGAAAATAGTCTACCGAAATTTGCAATAGTTGATCATTTTATTATATTTTTAGAGCATTTTCGTTAAATTCAGTAGAATACACAATCGCGATAAACACCGTGTTAATCACATGTCGGGTTTATAAAAAACAATACAGAAAGTTTAACGACAATCACTTTTCTAATTAAGTTTTGAGTTGTATCTGCCTTATCTGTTCTCGTCTAACAAACGCAACATTTTAGTTATTAAAATTTTGCTTAATGATCAATACAAAATTTCGGGCTTCCGCACTTGAACTATTCGTATTTTGCCGTGGCGGCATTGTAATCAATTGAAACGAAACGAAGATTCCGTAATTTCTATGAGTTCAACATGTGACGTAGTAGAATTTAATCCGTCAGACAGGCAATCCGTTCAATCCGCCCGATCCGGCTGATCATTCAAAGATTGTACTTTAAGTCTGACGGATTGGAGACTTGACTTTGACGCAAACTTGACCTGATTGTTGACTGATCGATGATCGCTAACTGATCGCTAAAATAGTAACGCTTAGGGATGCGAGCACTGTAGTATATACATATGTAACATAAAACAGTTACAGATACAGATAAAGGTATTTAATTATCTTAATTATGTTCACGAGTACCTGACAGTGTATTGTGCTTAAATAACAATAGATAACATATTCCATTGTCAACTATGAAGTATCAACAAACATGACGCAACTCTTCAATTACTATCGGAACAGCTTCCTTACAAACTTGACAGATCAAAGCAGTACATTACCATATAACATGGAAAAAAGATGTTTCATGATTGCAAATAAGACAACTAACAACCAGAGACCAAATGACATTTAAGTTAGCATCTATATATCACCGTACAATGTTCAAAACCCATACCGCATAGTGAGCTATAAAAGACTCCGAAACGACTAATGTAAAAATAATTCAAACGAGAAAAAAAACGGCCTGATTTATGTACAAAACAGTAAAAGAAAGGCAAATACAAAATACTTTAACAAACTGAATTATAGTATGCTGACTTGATACAGGGACATATATAATGTGGCGGGTTAACATTGTTTGCCTGCACCAAACCTTCCATCGAACATAGGACAATAGTTTAACCGTACAACGTACGAACAATCCATAAAAATAAGTTGAAAAGGGTTGCCTCCATTAAATCTTTACAAACCACCGAAAATAAAAACAACAACATTAAAACACAATTGACACAAAGTTCACCTCCGACATATATCTACGACTACAATAATTTAAAGACGTAATTAAAAGTCAGAGAGAAAAATAACATTGTTAAATACCGAAATATACAGCATATTAAGTGGCAACTTTTTGACACAATCCAGTTCATATAAAACCGCATCACACACTTTAAATCCAGCATAGGTTTCACGGTACAATGTAAAAGAAAAAAGTGTGTACTTCTTTGTTGAAAACATTGGCGCGCCGGGTGATGAGCTTGGGTTTAAAGCGATCATAGTGTTTCAGATCGTATAACCAAAATAACTTTTACGTTAGAACTTTAAAAAATAAAATGCACAGTTTGTAGAATTGTCTCAGTTGATCCAAAATATACCCACATATAGTAGTCATATGTTGCTTTTAAAACTGAGGTCACTTCCCCTACTGTTAAGACGTTAATATACAATGTAGTTCAAAATATTAACAGGTTTTGTAATGTATATTTTCTTAATAAATGCATGCATTATATTATCATTTTGCCATTTACATGTGAAAAATCTACCTCAAAATATATATCTTAAAAATCCTTCATAACTAAACATGAATAACGCGTTAAATTTAAACTTTGTTTTATAGACTTTGACTGAGTTGGGTATGAACATTCATTTGAAAGACAGAACTCACTAATTCTGTTTTACTCAACCAGGTCTACAATATAACTACATGCATTTATAACTATTTATCAGTCAAACAGTCGTTCTGACTGCTTCGTGAAAGGCTATATCCTATTAAAAACCTATAAAACTATGTGTTTTTCATATCTAACGTAGAAAGTTCAAAAATATTAATTTTCTTTCTCTAATTTAGAACTACTAGATCAATTTTAATCAAATCTCATTGTTTACGATTCAGTTTGACTCATTTTGTCATTTTGATTCAAGCGTCAATAATGAGTTTTTTTTTTAGACGAAACACGCTTTTGGCGTACACAATTGTAATCCTGGTATCTATGAGGCGTTTATTTGTACATGTTGTAGAAACATCCTCTCTAAATCATATACACACGAACAAACTATCATTAAAAGTCCAGTGTTGCACAAATATTTTTTTCACATGAAAAACATTAGATTTTTTCTTTGTCTATGATGTAACGTAACATCAGCTCAGTCTTTAATATTTGTTGTTACACGAGGCTTATTCTTGGTGGTTCTATAAAATCGAATTTAAATCTCAAAAAAACAAATCAAACAAATCAAAACAAATCAAAGCAAATTAAAACAAAACAGAACAGAACAAAACAAAAAATAACATTACAAAACAAAACAAACAAAATAAACAAAATAAACAAGAAAACAACATTAATGACAATGTAAACGTTTCCATTATATGTTCATGAAAATTAGGATGGAAATGCATTCTTAACTTATTTTGTGCTTTTATGTATAATTAAAGGATGCAAGAACAAGGCCCCTCAGTCATGCAAGTATGTACTTAAGGACGTAATTTACACTTTACATCTCAATAAAACACAAGAAAAATGCATCAAGTGTAGGGTGCTGCAAGCCATGTTATACTTCGATGTCTAAAAGTGTTTTGGATTAAATTCTTTAAAATATCATTTCGTGACATACAAATAAATTGATAAAATCAAATTATGTAGATCCTGAATTGAAATTCTTAAACATCTACACATTTCTGGAATAACTTTAATTACGAGGTTACTGAAAGCATTATATACAATTTCATTTTCACATGTTTTAAGTTAAAATTATACATGTATTATTTATTTTTTCTTCATCACCACAAAATAATCCTTTATACCCATTCAGGAGTGTATATAAAATTCTTTCAGATCTGATGAATATACTAATGTGCAAAGAAGCAATCCTGCATTTACAGATGCGTACACTACGTTACAGTCTGATATGGGTATGTGCATTCTACAAACCAAAATTATGTATATAATGCATCATTCATTAAAACAAGTCGGTAAAATATTGATATTGGAGTTGATAGTTGCTTCATATTGTTTTACGCTAATATTAGTTTTTGTCACCTGTATGGGTTTGAAGATAACGGTGATTTATTTGAAGACACATCAACAATTTATTTTTTTCAAAACTGGTTTGGGAATTCGTTCACATTCTGCTTTTTGGTCTTTTGTTGAAAGTTGTCTCATTGGCAATTGTACCAATTCTCCTTATTTTCAAACTGATACATGAAGTCCGAATGTCGACATGACTAGCTCGATGTATTCAACTTTGTTGCTTGTTTCAATTGTTTTTGCAGAAGGAGAGTGGTTCTTAATTCATGTACTAATATTACCTTATATTTTGTTGTATTCGTATTTTTATTGTTTTCAATTATTTTTGTGATTATTTTTGCCTTCTCTGTTAAGCAAGAAACAACCAATCAGTTAATCATAATGTTTGCTTGGAGACGTGTTTTGCAGGTCCATTATAATCAAATATGTCGGAATAAAATAAAATACTGAGGTACCACATCTTATGAACGGAAAAAATAAACAAAAACCGAAGACACTAATGCATCAACACTTTATAAAAAGTCAAATAGTACAACGTCTGCATATCGATTGTTATTATTGACTGCTGTTAATGTCTATTTCAAAATACTTTAACCTGCGTTGAACTTTACAAACATAATTATATTCACTGACATTATTTTTAGAAACAAGACCACACCAAGAGCAATGGTATGTATTATTTCGTAACACAAACGATAGATTGTACGCATTGGCCTACATTGAATATGATGCGTTGAAATATTGACTCAAATATTGTTAAAGTATAATTCTGCCTGTGAGTTAAAAGGTCACATATTTCTGAATATGCAATTTATTGTAGAGACTGAGCGATACAAGATCATATTTTGTAAAACAGTTACAGTACCGTTGAGAAGTAAAGATAATGGCTTGTTAAACAGTAGAACTAAATCTCATCACGCAATTGGATAACAAGAGTGTTTAACATAAACACCATGTTGTTGTTAAATTACATTCTTATAGTGATGCTTATATTGTTGTTTCAACAAGTTATTATTTATGAGTCTAATGTGTGGATTTTCAAAGAGTGTCTACTTTTCATTGACCGTTTTTTTTTTTGGAGTCGAAAATGTAGAGGTTAGTGAAATGGTTGTATCATATTATCAGGCCGCTAGCTTTAATTGTGTATTTGAATTGATTTAAAGTAGTAATACCAGGGCTTTTATTTTAGATAACTGTACCTTATGAGTTTTACTTAATAGTTAAGGCCGCCCGAGGCCCAGAAATTGTTCACATATTTGTCTTTCCGGTTTTTATGGTTAGTTGTCCACGCTGGTGGAGTAGAGATTTTTAACCATTCGAAGCAACTGATAGCACAACCAGTTTGTTGTCAGGTTCTCGTTGTTTAGTCTTTTGTTTTTATGTAGCATATTTTTAACTTTTCGTTTTTCGACATAGTTTTGTCCGTCTCTAATGAATCTCAATTGTCCAATAGGTACCTGTTGCTTTTTCATTTTATTTTTTTGGTGGAGGGGGTCTCATTTGCCGTCATGCGATATCTACTTACTTCTGTACTATAGAGTCCTTATATTTTTATAGACCATCAGGTTAACAAAGGATACCACTACATTGTAATATTGTGGTATTTTCGGCAATCTCATGCTCTAAGAAATGTTCTATAACTAATTATCTTCGATTACTCGTTTACCAAATGTGGTAGTATTGATTAATTGGTATCCACATGCTTATTTGCAAACCCACCATATATCTAGCATTCCAATACTCGCATAGCTATCGGCTATCAAGACCAAAATTTTCAAAAATGTCCAACATACTGTTCCTGGTTTAAAATCGATTGGAAAGGCATGTCGTAATTAACTCGTTGTATAAAGTCAAAGTCATTGCATTATAATACATTATTAAAAGAAAATGCATAATAGACACGCTTTACATAAATTAGATGATCGTTTTTGACAAAAACATCAAGTACGATACACACGTGTATAACTTTAAAAAAAAAAATGCTAGGAAGTTTTGTATTTTCCTCGAAAATTTTGTTGTTGGTGTGGGCAATTGTGGTGTACGCAATTTTTGGTAATACTTTCTGTTATTCTCTGTATTTGTTTTATTCGAGGGAAGATGTATCTAATGTATCACTTAAACTTGTTGTATCACAAACAAACCCTATTTAGTTTTCAAAATGGATGAAAAATACAACGGAATCAATTTCCATAAGTTGACCAGACCGACACCGTGGCTATGAGAAAACAATCATATTTTAATAATCATGTATATACTTGCAGTGGTAACATCTATGACGAATGTAGGGGGAGACCTGGAGCATACGCATGCAGTTCTTCAGCAACAAATGAGTCAGGTAAGAAAACATCTGTTTAGAGTTCGCCACATCGGTTTAACATGACTTGAAAGGTTCCCTGCAAAATGCACGTCTTTAATTTCACTGGGCCCTACTGTTGCTTGTAGACCATTAATCATTACCATTTATAATTGGTTGAGTGAGTGTTGGTGCTTAACGCCAATTCCAGTACACTGCACCATATCGTGGAGACCCGTTTATAAAAGTGTAACAAACTGGAGTGGCCTGAAAAGAGGTATAAGAGAATTGCACAGACCGTCGGCAAGACAAGGGTATATTCTAGTAGATTAAGATCAGGATCGAACGCATCTTACCAATGTGGATTAATTATGCAACTGCACTTTACCCAACCTCAGTACTAGAGACTTCACAACATATGTCATCATTGATAGCAAAATACAATAAAGAAAGATAACAAACTTACCGACCTCTAAGGCAAATTCCAAAAGGGTAAGTCAATAAAAAATGAAAAAGTCAAACGCTATCAGTCAACATAACAAGTGAAAACAATTGCCATATTTCAGACTTGGTACAGGCAGTTTCAAAGGAAATTGTGTTTTAAATCTGTGTTATAGGTAGCTTACTATTCCGCTTGTATAGTAAATTCCAACCACTCGAAACGATCCACAAACAACAAGGGCAATCCCCTGGGTCTAAATGACAATATATCTTGACAAGGGAACATATCTAAAACTTCTTCTATTGATATCATGAATATTGTTGATAAAAGACAATGTAATAATAGGTATCATGGCAAACATATCAATTGAAAACCGAATGAAACATCGTATAAATTATACACTTGATGGTCTCCTATCTATATTTTAAAACAATGGTAGGCATCAATTATTATGTAAACATGGTCAAATAACAAATAGTAAATTATATGATCTCAATGGGTGTGACACAATCTCTTTCTTCAGCCCACTCTATGAATATTCGCGTATAATTAAAGCTTTTTGCCACCATAGGCTGTTCCCGCGTATCGATAAACTAAACCTGAGGATCATAAACGGCACTTTCTGAAAATTAAAAATGTTAACAAAGATATTGATTTTACCAACTTATCGAGTATATTTAATGACACTACCATTCAAAACTTTATACCTCCCCATTTTGATAACACAGAACCACCTATTATTTCGTACACATACAAAAAATCAGCAGATGTTTAATTTTTAATCAGACGTCAATGTAGAAAATAATACTCCTCTAATTTGAGACTGTTGATCGTCGAATTTTCGAAACATGTATGATCCCTGTGGCCATGTTATTATGGGCGACCTTGATATCGTTCAAGACAGAGAAGTTAAAAACTTTTAAAAAAAAAAGACCAAAATATCGTCCTCCATCTAAAATAGATTGGAAACAGTGTCGTCATGTCAAAAAAGACGCTCTTTCCTGGTTTTGTAAACATTGGTGTAAACGGGAAAAATCTGATAAAAAGTCTCTTCGTTTTTATTTAAATAAATGTATGATTGTTGTGGATATTCGAAGATCACATTTTGAAAATAATTCAGAAATAAATAAAAGAGTACATAATACGCCTATTTCTAGAATAAAAAATAAACTTCAAGAACTTTCAAAGCGGTTTGTGTTTAAACCGGCCGACAAGGCAGCCAACAATGTAGCGGCGGTATGCCGTCAATACTACACGGACGTTCTTACAAATGAAATTTTAAATTCATCTTCATTCAAGTCCATGCGCTCCACAGAGAGTCATGTAGTAAACAAACATATCATAACCACATCAGAGCTTAAGGCCTCTTCTGAACGTTTGAAGGTCCCTACTATGAATTGGTTACCTAAACTTGAACAAAAAACAGTAAATTTGTCTCTAGTAAGTGTTTTACAACTAATCTTTCAGTGCTTTAATAATGGTTTACTTTTATAAAATTTTGACTTGGATGGAGAGTTGTCTCATTGGCACTCATACCACATCTTCTTATATCTATCTAAACTAGTTCCTTAACTACAATATACAAAGCACTTATCATTAACCGTTGTATTTAATATATCAAAAAAGTGGAATTAACTATTTTTGGAGTGTAAAAAATCCTTTGGATGTTTTAGATACATTACGTGCTTTTGATGGTCCTAGTCCTTTTGATTCTGTTGACAGTTTTGAATTTGCAACTCTTTACACTACACTTCCACATAATTTTATCAAACAAAAGTTTTCCTATTTATTTAAATGGTCGTTTGGTAAATCTGAATGCAAATATATTTGCTGCAACTCATTTAAAACCTTCTTCTCTAATGAGAAAGGTAAATATGCTAGATATACTTACTGGAGGTGTGATGAGATTATTGAAGCTGTTAATGTTCTCTTTTCGGCAACAAAGTTTATTGACAGGTTGTAGGTATTCCTATGGGTACTAAATGCGCCCCTTTGATAGCAGTCTAGTTCTTGTTCTGTTATGAATCACAGTTTATGACCAAACTCAGTAAAGACCTGTCTAAATTGCATTTAATTGATAAATTAAACAACACTTACCGTTATCTTGATGATACTTTTTCGTTAAATATATAATCAAGAATTTTCTAAATATACTGCCGACATTTACCCAAAGGAATTTACTTTAAATAAATCCAATGTAAACGGTAAGAACTGTCCTTTCCTAGATTTAGATATTTCTGTTTTACACGGGAAACTCCACACTTAAATTTATGATAAAAGGGACGATTTTTCGTTCCCCATTTTTAACTTTCTTTTTTTTTATGATGATGTTCCTTTGGCACCATCTCACGGTGTTTATGTATCTCAACTCGTTTGCTACATGTATAAAAAAAAAAGTAAAATCACAAAAATACTGAACTCCGAGGAAAATTCAATCGGAAAGTCCCTAATCACATGGCAAAATCAAATGACAAAACACATCAAACGAATGGACAACAACTGTATGTTCGTGTCTGTTGTGTCACGTTTTGGATTTTAATGAACGTAATCTATGTATTACAGGTAAATTATTAAGTCAGGGATATCGTTACCACAAATTACTTAAAACCTTTACTAAATTCTTCCATAGATTTACAAATTTGGTTTTGAATTTGGTTGTACCTGTAGAAAACTTATTTCAAACGGGAGAGCACATCCTCATTTTTACGGAGATGTTCTTTACCGTGCCCGGAAATTTAGAAACGATCCTGGTAAACTTATCGATCCTTTAAAAAAACTTATTCTAAAGGTTACCAATTCAACACTGTAATTATATCTTTGAATATTGTTTTTATTGGTATTAATATTGATTTTGTTAACTGTAAATTAAAAGCAAACTAAATATTAATGTTATATACATATGCACAGTCATGGCTCTACAATCTGTCGATAACTGTATCTTGGCATTGCACAAGGTCATGTTTTTTCTCTGACTGTTTATGACGTCTTTACACTAAATTCATTAGATGTTGGATGTGTACTGATTGATAATTTAGTCTTAGATGCATGATTTTTTTTATCAATTGTTATTTGGCTTTGAACTAGCTGTCAGTAACTGCGAGTACTCTCAGATTTTAATAGTTATTTCTTATGTTGCACTATTACACCCCTGTCCCAGGTAAGGGGAGGGTTGAGCGGCCGCCACATTCTGTATGTGCCTGCACCAAGTCAGGAGCCTTAATTGAGTGATTGTTGTTTGTTGCTGTTGATCATATGCGTTGCTTGTTTATTGTTTTGTACAGCAATTGTTTTGTTTTGTTGCACCACTGTCCCAGAATTAGGGGGAGGGTTGGGCGCCCAATAACATGTTTAATCCCGCCACATTCTGTATGTATGTGCCTGTCCCAAGTCAGGAGCCTGTAATTCAATGGTTGTCGTTTGTTGCTATATTACACATTTTTTTGCTGACTATGCGGTATTGGCTTTGCTCATTGTTGAAGGCCGTACGGTGACCTATAGTTGTTGATTTATGTGTCATTTGGTCTCTTGTGAAGAGTTGTTACATTGGCAATGATACCACATCTTCTTTTTTATATTTTATATTGTCAAATTAGTTTGGTAAACCATAACAGACACATTAGGTAAATGTGACAATAATTGGGATCAAGCTGACAAGACTGTGAAAACAAACATGAAAGACATACAACACAACTGACTAAAAATTCAAACAAACATACACAAAAGCCATTTGTAAAATAAACTGTTCAGAGAACAATTAAAAGTTTTTCCATCTATACATTTATACTTACCTTGTTAAGAATCATGCTGAGGGTGTTTCATAACATGTCCGCAATTCATTGATTTAGACCTTATAATTTAAACACAGATAAATAAGTAAATGTCAGTCTTCCTGTATAATGTGCGTTCCTATGGCAACAGCCAAAGCAAACTTTTGCCCGAATAGGCGTAAAAAATAGCTTTGAAATATGAAACAAGTTAAAGTACCATGGAAATAAAATCAATTTATAAATACAATAAGGATTTTTACAATGCTGTACGACAAAGCACCAAACAACAAAAAACTGAAAATGTAATTTACTTTATAGTTTGTTTCCATAGCAACCATTTAAAATACGTTAAATTTCAATAATAAGAGAATTCAAAATACACACATTTTATTTATGTTTATCACCCAAGACCATCAATACGCTTTCCTATTATTGAACAATTCTGATCACAACATATTAGATGGTAATAGAATAAAAAGAAAGTAGCAAGTTGTTTTGTCTTAAAAGAAATATTTTTTATTCTACATTTCTGACATAAATATGTAAATCATAAATGTTTGTTTTTAAATGTTCGATTGGTAAAGAATGAACATAAACAATTCTGGATATGCTACAACTCCCTTTTTTAGAGCTTTTTTCAGAATTACAACATTTTTCGGCAAATTAAGAAAGTTAATTGCCTCCTAATATACATGCTGACCATTTAAGCATAAAACACATTCAATGGTAGAGGACAGTTGATGTAACCTTAACCTTTGTAAGAGATATAACACAATTATAAAGGGTATCCGAATAAATCTGTGTCTCGCCTGATGCTGTGAATGTACAAGTGT